TCGCTTCTAAAACTCTCTAAACAAAAAAGGATAACGAAGCGTAGTACCAATGCCAACTAATTTCTTTCTTGCGCTAAATAATAATAAATAAGATAATTTTCGATCACCAAAAAATTTCGGAAAAAACACTTGAAAATAGTTTTGTGTGACAAGTCGTTCGACTGCTAAATTACCTTTTAAAGAATTATTTCTACCTTTTTTTTTTAAATTTCTTCTCTTCCCTTCTCTGCAAAGGTAAATTTACAAAATTAACGAGATTAATTATATATTAATATTATTTATTTCTTTTATTTTACGCGTTAATTCAAAGATTACGCGTAAATACAAAGTAGTCCAAGAGTATATTGAATTACTAATTTAATTTATTCTATTCCTTTATCAAATCAAAAAGAAAATAATTAATTGACAATCTAAATCAATAAAAATGTCTGACACGACACCAATTGCAAGGCGACAACAACTGTTAAATTTAAGTAGTCTAGGTTCACCAGATACTATAACCTCTGCTACTCCAATACCCATTACACCTCATACCATAAACATAAACACTACAAGAAGATCTCCTCCCTCTAGAGAATTATTACATCCTGATGTTGAAGCTCTTGCTGACAATCCTATAGATGATGAATTGAGAACAATATTAATGAGAGAATATAACATTGATCATAATCTTTCAAACTCTGGAGGATCTTCAACACCAAGACGGCAAGGACGGGGTGATATTCATCCAACGCGTAATGATATTAAATTTTCAGAAAACGATGAAGATAATAATATGACCAGCACAAATAATATACCAACAACAATTGATGTTAGAGAGACTATTTGGGGTACCAATATCAAACTTGAACGTGTCAAAATTGCTTTCAAAAGGTTTTTGCGTGAGTTCAGAAGACAATTTCGTCAGGAAAAAGAAGGAATTGATTTGATTTCCACTGATGCTGATTCTTTTTATGTTCAGTATATGCATAAAGTATGAATTAAAAAAAAACCACACGCTCATTTATATATGAATATATTGCTATTGAATATATAATAACATTAACAAAAAAACCTATAATGATTGTTATTTGCAGATTGAGGAAACAAAGATTTATGTATTGAACCTTGATACAAAAAACCTTCTTGCTTATGAACCATCTGAAAAACTTTATCATCAACTTATAAGATATCCCCAAGATTTGATTCCAATAATGGACGAAGTGGTCACTGAAACCTATAATGAACTTTGTTCCGAGCAAACCATGATGCCAATTAAAGTGAGAGCATTTAATTTAGAAAAATCTATTAATATGCGTGATTTGAATCCATCAGGTAAACTTGACATCAAATAAATGCGTAAGTTGAAAATATCAATTGATTATTTATTTATTAATTTTTGTTTTATTCAATTAGATATTGATCAAATGGTTTCTGTGAAAGGACTTATTATTCGTACTTCACCAATACTTCCTATCATGTCGACTGGTAACTAATTTCATAGCCAAATATCTGTTTAACCGACTTACTGGCTGATAAATCAATTATTTAATTTTTGCTTTGACAATAATATTATTATTTCTAAAAAAAAAATACTGCATTATGAATACTGATATTTTGATGATTGATTAGCATACTTCCGATGTTCAATATGTGATAAATCTGAAGAGGTGACAGTGATACGTGGTAAAATAGATGAACCATCAAAATGTCCTAGACTTCAATGTAATTCGGTTGGGACAATGAACTTGATACATAATAGGTCTTATTACAAAGATAAGCAAATATGTAGATTGCAAGAAACACCAGGTTTGCCATTAATACATCAATCTATATATATATATATATGGACGATAAATTTCTAAGGAATGCAATTAATTATGAACAATAATTTTAGATTGTATTCCTGATGGTCAAACACCACACACTATAACGATTTGCTTATATGATGATTTAGTTGATGTGATAAGACCTGGAGACAAGTAATTAATCTTTTTCCCTCTTCTTAAATGATTTTAAGTTGATTGAATTAACTAATCGTATAATGAGTTATGTATTTTATTTGTTATCATTGTTATTATTGATAGAGTGGTAATCACTGGAATTTATCGATCCTTTCCAATTCGTTTGAATCCAAATAAACGTACCATCAAATCTTTATTTAAAACCTTTGTTGATGCTATACATATCAGTAAAACTGATAAATCAAGATTAAGTTCGGATTCGGTATTATTAAATGAAAATGAATATGCACCAAAGTGGGTAATGTTCAAAATTGGATTAATTATATATTTATAGTGACTAAATATTTATTCATTCAACAAATAGTTATGATGAGACCGATAATATTAGCTGTAAAAGACCTGATACTACAAATCAAGTAAATCCTTTTGATTTAAAAGAAGTTGGAACTAAAAAAGATGATGAACAAAGAACAAAACCTAAATTTACAGATGTAGAAATTAATGATTTCGAGCGATTATCAAAACAACGCTTTGCTTATGAAACTTTAGCTAATTCTTTAGGTTACTTGAAAATCAAAAATTGTTTATTATAAGTATATTCAGAATAATAATAATGAATTTTTGTGTTTTAGCTCCAAGCATTTTCGGATTAGATGATGTTAAAAAAGGCATACTCCTACAGTTATTTGGAGGTGTGCATAAAAAGTTTGAAAAATCAGGATCCCCTCGTTTTAGAGGTGATATTAATATCTTATTAGTCGGTGATCCAGGAACTGGCAAATCACAATTATTACAGGTAAATGTAATATATAGTAAGGAAATTTAATATTCATTATTTGTATTCTATGATGTTTCTTAATTAATAATTATTCTGCGATGAATAAAATTGTTTCAAATATTTATTAGTATGTTCATAAAATGTCACCTCGTGGAGTTTATACTTCAGGAAAAGGTTCGTCAGCTGTCGGCTTAACTGCTTACGTCACAAGAGATCCAGATTCAAAACAAATGGTTCTTGAAAGGTAAATATTTAGCTTAACAATAAATACAACAAATATGGTGAAAATTATTTCAAATGAATAAAAATTACATTATATATATATTCACCTAAAATGTAAATCTTTAATAGTGGGGCTTTGGTTTTAAGTGATGGAGGTATTTGTTGCATCGATGAATTTGATAAAATGTCGGAAGGGACTCGTGCAGTACTTCATGAAGTCATGGTTTGTTATAAAAAAAATTTTTTTAATAACAATATATATATATGTTCATTTGATTTTTAATTTATTAAAAAAATATTTTTCTAATATATATGTTTTCGTATAAATAGGAACAACAAACCCTTTCTGTAGCCAAAGCTGGTATTATTACCTCGTTAAATGCTAGAGCATCTATTCTTGCTTCAGCAAATCCTGTCAATTCAAAATACGATCCTAAACTGTCTATTGTCCAAAATATTAAGTTGCCACCGACATTGATGTCTAGGTTTGTAACATTACATATTTTTTTTTTGCTCTGTAGAATGACTATGGCGTTTGCTAGATTATGATATTTAAATAGTTAATTTTCACCATCTTTGTTCTTGTTCTTGTAAATAGATTTGATCTGATTTATTTGATATTGGATAAAATAGATGACGTCTCTGATACACAATTAGCAAAGCATTTAATATCATTATATACGACAAATAATGATAATGCTGCTAGACCTGGAATAGTGGTAATTAAAAAATTTATTCAAGTATTTATATTTAATTTTAAAATAATTAAATTACTCATTAATACATGATTACTCTATTTCTACTAATAGCCGTTCGAAACTTTATCAAAATACATTTCATATGCAAAAACACATTTTGATCCAAAAATTGAAGATGATGCAACCCAAACTGAATTAGCCAAGATTTATGTGGAATTACGTAAATTAGGACAAGATTCTCTTTCATCGGAAAAAATAGTTACAGCAACCCCCAGGCAATTGGAATCCATGATTAGATTGGCAGAAGCTCATGCTCGTATGAGGTTAAAATCATTTATTTTCATTATACATATTTTTTCTTTTAAAAAAAAATCTAATTCCCATTTATTTCCTTTTTTTATGGATATATATAGACTTTCAAAAAATGTGGATATTCATGATGTTAAAGAAGCAGAAAGATTATTGAGGGAAGCAATGAAAACGGCAGCTTGGGATCCAGAAACTGGTAGAATTGATATGGATTTGATTACTACAGGTCATAATATTAATGATAGGGAAAGGGGAGCAGATAAATTGTTAAAGGAAGATGAGGAAAATGGAGAAAATGAATAAATATAATAAATATTATCTTGATGAACAAATTTATTATTTTTGACGTAAAACTTTATTATATGTATATGAATGAAAACAAAAAGCTCTAAATTTCACCGTCTAATATAAAACATCAACTAATATTTAAAAGAATATCTATGATATTCCCTAATATTATCGTAAAAATCTCCGACCAGTTTTTTCATGTAATTAATTGCAAACATATTAATTTCGTACTTTTTATTGTTACTTAAAAAATTAAAAAATGTGTTCAAGTCATTTAAAAACTCTTGACAATCTTTTTTAACTTTTTCTACTATATCTTTATCAATTTCTCGTTTTTCAATTTCACCCAAATCTTTTATTTCCGTCATTTCGGTTAGATATGGAAGAATGTTGTTTAAAAAATTTAAATAAAACTATACAATATAAAAAGAGTTAAAACCCAAAGTCATTATTATTTATAATCATCATTATTTTTTTATTATTATAATTAAATATATAATTAATAAAAACCTTGCAACCATTTTCCCAGATCGAATCATGTAAATCAACCTTTTTAATTTTTTCAAGCAATATTCCAAGTTCTTTATAATTTTTTTCTAAAAAATAAGAAGGTGCTAATTCAGTTAAAACTATTGTATGAACATCCAAATCATTGTTGGCCTCAAGTAAATACATGACTTCTTTTATTTTATCATTATTATATTTGGAATACAAGGCCTAACACAAAAAAAAAGACAAAATTATTGTGAAAATTTTAATAATATTTATAATTTTAATTCATATATAAACTTGTTTGTTTATTCTTTTACTGACCTTGGCTTCTGCAAACCATTCTTTTGGAATTTTTAAATGTTCAATTGCAAATTGTTCAATACTTGATAGTTGATCCATTGATGTTTTTGGAATATTACGATTTAATATATCTTTTATAGCCTTTTCACGACTAATTTGGTTTTTAATTATAAAAAATAATTAATAATCATTAGAAAAATTTAAAGATTTATTATTTTTTATTTTTTTTTTTTTTACTTACGTATGTGGTTCATTCAAAAATAACGAAATATATAATGCCCATTTCCAAATACCTAATTGTTCTATTTGAGAAACAAAATTTAAAGTCATTGCATCTGACATGTAACTCCCTTCAACAAAGTCTCGTTTACGTTTAATACGTGCTAACATAGCATGAAACATCCAGGTTAAACGATAATCCAATGGTGAACGTGTAAATGATCTTGGAAGTAGACTTTCTTCTAGAGTATAAGTACTATCAATATTTATTTTTAATAGATGATATTGTGCATCAAATACTCGGCTTGAATCTTTAAAGGATGACCAAGAGTCATTGTCATCATCTTGAATATACCACGCTAATGGTTCAGGAATAATCTTGCTTTGGAATTCAATTGAATTTTGTTGTGCCTCTTCATATTGATCAAGTGCCACTTCAAACGGTTGATTATTTAACAAGCCATACCAAAAAAACATTCCAAGTAGTCTAACCCATCCCAAATTTACATGATCTGGAAGACTTTCTGGTATCGAAGCACCTTGCATCAAGTAAAATAACCTTAACAAAGAGTTATTTTCATAATCGGTCTTTGTTACGAATTTTTTCCAAATTTTAATTTGTTCACCAATATAATTCCTAAATTGTGGAGAGCCACCAACCTGACATAACAATGTTGCAAGAAAAGAATTAATTTTTATTGTTTTCAAAGTAGCCTGTTTAAGTTGATGACCAGAAAGTAGAATGAATATATATCGGAAATATTCATCAGCTGTAGAACAATCGGTGGGGAATTCATTAACCAAATCTCTTTTCACGTATGGATCTGCCGCTTGCTCAAACCATTTTGATAAAAATTGTCTTTTTGTTTTTAAAAGTAATTTGTCGGGTAAATTGTCATCATCAATATCCCATAAAATATGTGCAAGATTCCATGTTTGAATCTCATGACGAACAGATGTGATATTTTTGTTGTTACTATCATTATAATTTGATGATGATAAAATGTCATAAAAACTGGAAAATTTGATTGAAGGATTTAAATCAACGCAAGGTACGTTATCCGCTTGTTCAAATGTTGAATTGTTAAATAAATGTTCTAATTGTTTGATGTGTATTTCTTTCGCCTCATTCTAAATACATAAATAACAAGACAATTTAAACAATTAAAATATTTAAACCATTTAATTAATGAACTTTTGATTGTTATATTTTTAAATAGCACAAACCATTTCATCTCTAGGGAATAATAAAACTTCATTAATCCTAACAATATTCATAGGTTGAAATAGTAATTTATTATTTGATGATGAACTTTCGTGATTCTTTTTCTTTTTGTCTAAAAAGCTGAAAGCTGATGACGACGATGATGGAATATCTCTAAAAAAAAAAATAATAATAACAATTTTATAATGAATGATATTTGTTAACAATTTTTAATCATTATTAATATCTTTTTTTAATTAATTGATTATTTGTTTATACAAAACATACTTACAGTACTGTTGTTTTGGCTCGTTTATCTGTTATTTTTACTAATGTAAAATTGGGACCCCAACTAACTTTGAAAGAATGAGACAATAATGAACGAGCATTTTTTTTATAAAGATTTTTTTGATAAATAGTTGACTGTTGATAAGGCAGGCATCCAATTTGCGTGAATGGAAAATGAGGAATTAATGGACTTTCACCTGCCAAATGAATCTTTAGAAATAATTTTATTATTAATATTATTATTATAAAAAAAGAAGTCCATTATATACACCATTAATATAAAATTATAAAGCAAAATAAATTAATATAAAAATGAATTTATTGATAAATTATGTTAAGAAACAACGATAAAAAAAATAAATATACAAAGATAGATAGATATAAACTTATTTAATAATCTAAAATTACTTTTTGAGTACTCGTATTACAGCTATCTTGCTCATAATCAACAATCATTTCACTATCTAAGTCAGCATCGTCTGAAATTTCATTATCTACTGTTGAAAATATAATATTTCTCATTGATTCAATGTCTCCTAAATTTTCTGCAAGTTGATCAAGTTGATATAATCCTTTTTTTTCTTTTTTGTTTATTTGATTATGTTCCATCCCCTCCATATAATTTGATTTTCTTTTTATTGGTTGGTAAGGCTTTACTTCATACAAATCATCATCAGATTCATACTCAAGGCCATAAGTAGTAAAATGTTGTACTTCAAAAACCCAGCTACCTGTTTCTGGCACGTAAGTAATGAATTTTGTGTTAGGTCGATCCTTCAACCTGAGAATACGCTGTTGGTATCGAGGATCTATTGGATCTTTGATTGGCTGACGAGTAGCTTTATCTAGTGCCCAACATTTATTCAATGTAATAACAGCTCTTTTATTAAGGCCTTTTCCCACTGGAGGTTTATCAGCATCTCCACCGTAAACTGTACAACTACCATCTTCAACGACAATAGTTTTACCATAGATATTCTCAATTGGCTTGATTTCACTAAGATCAACTGGTTCGTCATATTCAACTTTACCAAAATCATGTCGTCCAACTGAAAAATTTTCAACATTTTTCAATTCATCTGTTGACATTCTTTTAAGAACAGATAATGGTGGAAAACTATAGTATCCGTCATAATTATCATTCTTATTTTTCCCTGAAGATGTAGATTGCTGCAAAGATGGTTGTAGAGGCTTTAGCAAAGGTGATCGGGAGGGTGTATTTAAAGGCGTGTCTTGATTTTCAGGAATTAATTTACTAGCAGGTGGAGGTGTTACTTGTCTGAAATGTGTAGGGCTAAAGGAATGAGGTGTGATTTTTGCTGATGATTCAAGTTTTGCATCAAATGTTACCGATTTTTTTATTGGCGTTGTTGTATTTGTAGATGCCAGCGCTGATGTCGATGTCGTGGTATTTGCTGTTTTTGTGGTTTTTGTTGTATTACCATTTGTTTGAGGAATGATGAGAATGTTTTCGTCATGTTTGTTATTTGAATCAGACTTGCTGTTGTTAGTTAATTCTATAGGATTGATAACTTTATTAGCAACCAATGTTCTGGAGCCACGTTTTACAAATGCTTCAGGACTTAAAACATCATCTTGATTGATATTATGATCAAAAAAGTGAAAAGATTTTGGTTCTGGTGCTGAAAAACCTTTAAATGGGGGAGCTTTAAACCCGGGTAATTGCATTTTTGAACCAGGTTTAGGTGTTATTTTATGATGAATTGTTGTTGGCCCCTTTTTTTTAACAGTTGGTGAAATAGGCGTCGGGGTTAAATTAGGTCTTATTGATGATGAGGATATAGAACTAAGTGATGAAGCACCACCGCCAGTAGCAGCATTAGTGGTGCCTTGATAAATAGAAATGTCGCCATAAGGTGATTTATCAACAGTTGTTTGAAGATTAGGGATTTGATTTTGTTGACCAAACAAAGAGCTGGTATTACCAACACTACCGCTAGTACCGGAGCCAAATCCAAAGCCGCTTAAACCTAAACTATTAGTATTAGTAGGTTGTTGGGATTGCATTGTACTCAAACCAGATCCAATTCCAAAACTAGTATTAGTTGTACTAGGTAATTTTAATGAAGGAAAGCCAGTAGTATTAGTTGCAGTTGAAGTAGCAATTGGATTGATATTGCTAAATAATGAAGTGCTCGTATTGGTAGCAGGAGTATTTCCAAAAGCTCCTAAACTATTAGTACCACTTGCTATTTATTAGAAAAAAAAAAGTGATTATAATTAGTATATTCTTTTTTGTGTTATAAAAGGAATATTTAATATTTAAAAAATTTACTATTAAATCCAAATGCAGTAGTTGGTTTTGTAGCAGCTCCAAATCCCAAATTTAAAGTAGATGGAGTGGTAACTGTTGTGTTAGTAGCTGTAGCTTTATTAATAAAAAGAATTAAAATATACAAATCAATAAATAAGACTTCATTTAATACATAAATATTAAATATGTATATGTATATAACTTACAACCACCAAATCCTGCGCCAAAAGTAGGTGTAGTAGTACTAGTACCAAAACCACCAGTAGCAGCAGGTTTACTTCCTATTTAATTATTTTTTAAAATTAAAAATTAAAAAGAAAAAAAAAGAAAAATGTAAATGTATAAATTAAGTTAAACCAACGCACCACCAAATCCAAATGAAGATGTATTTTGATTTTGAGTATTCAACGAGCCAAATCCAGTATTTGTTGATCCAAATGCAGACGTGGTAGTAGATGTTTGAGGCTTTGCACCAAATAATGGCGCTTGTGACGTATTTGTTGTTAAACTACTGCCAAAAGGATTACTGCCTGTTTATATCAAAATCAAAATAATTGTATAAATAAAAAGATCATTGTCAATAAATAATAATAAACTAATAAAATTATTTTTTAATTACTAGAAGCTCCAAATCCAGTTGTACCACCAGCAGGAGCAGTAGCACCAAATCCAGTTGTGGGGGTTGTGGCTCCAAACCCAGTAGTACCCGTTCCAACTCCAAATTTATTGCTACCAAATAAATTATTTGTAGAAGGAGTGTTTCCGGTACCAAATCCACCAAGTGTACTAGGAGCAGCTGGTTGAGCACCAAAGCTAAAAGTCGATGAACCAGTATTTTGTACACCAAATCCTGTTGTTGAACCACCAAATCCTGTTGTTGAACTAGAACCACCAAAAACAGTTGGTTGAGTTGTTGGAGCACCAAATGCAGATGTATTTCCAGGACCTATACCAAAACCACTTCGTTGAGCATCAAATTTTCGGCCTATATTATAATCAGCAAGCCTTAATTCCTATAATAATATATATATATATATATATATATATAATTAGCAAAGTTATTATATGTAGGATATATGATTTTTATTAAAAAAAATTTATTCCTACCTCAAATGAATAATTTTTATAACTTTGCATAGCACTAATGCTATGAAAAACATTCAATGGTCCAGCAGGATCCCTTTCGTTGGTAGTAGTATACGGTGGATTTGAAGTGCCACTTGCTGGAAGATATGAAAGGGGATTTGATGATGTTGTAGCTAATGCTATATTCGAAAATCATAAAAATATTTATGACCATTATTATGATTTAATTCATTATCAAAAATATCAAGATATATAATCAAAATGTTATTATTATTTTACTTACCATTCCCGGTACCGAAACCTGTTGAGCCGCCAAATAGATTTGTTGAAGGTGTTGTTGCACCTTTTGTTATTATTTTAAAGAAATTAAAGATTAAAAAGTGTATACGTATATATAAATAAGTTATTGAACATATGTGTAGATAGAAAAACGCGTAAAAGTAATTTTTTTTAAGATATTAGAATGTTTAGTTACCGCCTCCAAAAGTGAACCCTGTTGATGTATTTGCAGAAGGTGTACCAAACCCCCCACCACCACCAAAACCACTTGTTGTTGTGTTTGTAGAGCTTCCAGCTCCAAAACCTCCTCCTAATCAACATTTGATTAATTTTTATAGGATTAATAGATCATTCAAAAAAATTCGTATAATGATATAATAGTTGACTTGGATGATAAAAGGAAAAGAATAAATTCTAAACGTCTAGACAAATAAAAATAAAAATATCATACCAAATGGTGGTGTTGATGTATTTCCTCCAAATAAAGGTGTGGTTTGTTGTTGATTGCCGAAATTTCCACCTGTACCTGATCCAAAGTTTTTAAACATTAATTAATTGCCTTTCACAGATAATTTATAGTGTTATATTGTTATAAGTTTGTTGAATTAGTTGTAAAAATGAAGAACTTGAGGAAAAATTAATTTTTGAAAAAGTTTTTATATACTCACGTGGGAGTATTTATAAATAATAGCAGTTAGAGGCGTAGTATATAGATACAATAGTAATGAATGATTTGTAATACATTCACAACTAATTTTATTATGCGCATGACTTTAATTTGTTGTTGCGGACGGACGGATATTAATATTAATAATTAGTAGTACTAGTACCTTATTATTATTATTATTATTATTATTATTATTTTCCTAATTCCGTACATTTTCCATATATATCCTAATCCATCAGTGTTGTCAGTCAATTGGCCTAGGCTAATTAGCCTTTTGGACATGGGTTGACAAAAGGGCTAAAAGAAACTTAATTGGACATTACAATTCCAATTGGCCCATAATGTCATAACATGATGCTTTCTTTTTCTAACATTTATTATTTTTCTTTCTTCTTGGTAAATTTCATAGATAATCTTTTTATATAGGGGTAATTCTATATATCTATCACCTAATATTAAGAGGATAACAAATGGAAGATTTTAATAATCACATTACTAAATTTTGAAC